TAGAAGCAACCGCAGAATAAAAAACCCTTTTCTGAAGGGTTTATGAAGTTGATAAACCATATTAGGGGTATATTACTGCTCATATACCCTAAACGGTTTATGAAAGTGCAACGTATAAAATATCCTTAAAGGGTCTATGATACCAGCAAACCCTAAAAATGGTGCATGAAAGGGTATATGAGACTAATAAACTCTTGCCGAGCGTTTATTATTATACGCCTATTTTTTACAGTGAGAGGCATGTGAAGACAAGAAGCATAAACAGAGTATTTTAAATATTCTAATTATAAAAAATTAAAAACTTTTGCTGAACATGATTGATTAGAAAATAGAGTAAAGATTCAAAGAGAATGAACATATGATAACAGAAACAGTTTAGAAAGTGCTCGTTAAATTTGTTTTTTTTTAAATAGAAAGTGACTTATCGTTGAGAAGAGAAAATAATACATACTTTATTGAATAAGTTATTAAAAGAATTATTGACGATGCCAGTCATAATCTGTTCCTCTTTGAGTCTTCATAATGTACATTAAAAATAACATGTTGTAATGGAAATGTGTTTGAAAAGCACAACAAACCGGAAGATAAATATTGAATCGGAAGTAGAAAAAACTTAGAACAAATGAAAAATTTGAAATATTGAGAAAAAAACAGATAATAAAACCGAATAGCATTTTCAGAGAAATATATAATAAATATGATAAAATAGTTCTAAATTCATTGATGATTTGTCTTGCTGAATAAATCAAGAGTTTTCATATAGGAAATGGGTATTTTAGTTAGAATAAGTAGAAATAAAACAAGTCTTATATGAACGCTGGGAAATATTCGTGATCCAATTCAATTCTGTTTATCTGCTCGATGGTATTTTTTTCTTAATATTCTAGGTGATGGAGATTCCTTTGCTTTTCTTCTTGTAATGAAAATCTTCGTACCATCAGGACTTTGTTCTTTCAAAGAATTGTACTCTTTTCGGGTTCCTTTTCGTACCTCGTAAAGTTTACGAATTTTATCAGCACTGACACCATTTTTTATAAGTATTTCTTGAGAAGCTTTTGCATAATTCTGACTTCTTATATTCTGTTTGCCGAAAATATACTCTGCCGTATTTGGATCAGTTAAATCAAATACTGATCTATTTTCGTAGGGCAAATGTTCCTCATTTGGTATATCGATCTCTGCTACTATTCCTCCACTTTCACTGGCCCATGCTGCTGCTACTTTGATACTTCTCGATGCAGAAACAAATGCACTTTTCGTTTTAGCTGTACTACCTTTAGAAACATGATCACTTGCCGATATATTAGGATCATAACCTTCTGGAGGACGTACTCCGTCGTTGAGAGGATCTTCATCTGGACGTAATGCCCTATAACCAACAAATGGATTTTCGCTACTGGATTCACCTTCTGACCCCAAATGCCTTTCACGATATCTAGGTGATGTTCTGCGTTGTTCTCTAAGGTCGCTACTACGAGATCTTGGTAACCTTCCTCCTAGAAATCCAGAATATTTCACAGTAAGACCCTGCTCATAAACTTGCCGCATTGAATGACTACTTCTTCCCTGTTGAGCTAATCTTTTATTGAACTCATTGATTTTCTCTGCACTTATAGGAAAGTCATACGCTTTATCAAAATCAATATTTTTTATATTGCCTTTTTCATATTGTTGTATAAATAACATAGTTTGTGCAAAACATTGGTCATTCGTATCGACATTTTGTTTTAATTCTACAATTTTATATTCACCATTTACTTCTATCACTGGCGCAAAATGATCAATTTGACCCTTTTCTTTAGATTTTATATAAGCTACTTTTATTGATTTGTCATTACTATGTTTAGAAGGACGAACAATTCCTTCATATGGTGCGTCCTTATGCAATTCAAAACCGTTTTCTGGATCGAGCGTTTCTATGGACACTTGAAATGTTTCTGCTGCTAATTTGAAGTGCATAGCGCCTGCAAATACTCCACTTTCTATATTATCTATATATTCTTTATACGTAGGAATGAGTGCGAATACTTTCCCATTTTTTATAACAATTCTTACATTATCACCGTATTGCGTCTTCAGCTCTCTGATAGATTCGCCGTTTAAATTCGACACGGTGATTTCTAAATCTTCGAAGTCGATATCTTTTACATTGATTAGATGCCCTAACTGTTCTAAAGCACGAATCTTTCTTGAGTTCAGCTTTTTCAATGATTTCTGTTCCTTCTCTTCGATTAAAGCTATAAATTCATCAGCTCTTTTACCTATGTGTTCTTCGAGTTCTCCTCTTGCATTAGCAAAAGGGGACGTAAGGAATTCTGTTACCGGTCTCATAGCATTATTCAATATGAATTGTATTCCAGGTTTTAAAAAGTCATGATTGACTTTTTCTTTAACAGCTGTTTTCATTTGATCTTCCATAGACTTAATATGTTCTGAAATATTAGCTGATATTGATATATTTGCATTTTCTTTTATCGTTTCACTATTTGATTTCGCTGATATTGATATATTTGCATTTTCTTTTATCGTTTCACTATTTGATTTCGCTTTTGATTTCGCTGATTCTCTATTGAAACTGTCTAATAATTTTTTATCCAAAATTTCACAAAAGCGTTGACATATAAAACACAAATCTCCTAAATTTTTCGACAATCTTAATCCAGTGATCGATTTATCAATTACTTTTGCAATTGAACCCAATAGTGCTGCTTTACCTTTGTTTTTCTGCAGTATACGTGCTGTATTTGAAAGCGCTCCCGAGATCCCATGAGCTACTTGCGTTACTTTATTAAATATCGTGTTTGCAAGATCTCCTTGTTGGAGATCTAATAAAGTCGTGTGAATACACTTATTAATAATATTCTTCGCATCCTCGGCACCGAATTTCTTATAAATACTTTCAAATCGTTCATTTAAGATCATCCTTTTAGATTTATAGATTGCATCATTTGCAATCCATCCATCCAAAATTTTCTCGAAATGTTTATCGAGTAATTCTTTCATTAGGAATTGACTTAATTCATCTGTCGAGATACTAACTATGGCTGATGCAACACCGGTGATTAAATGAGTCATAGTTTCTTTTGCTATGGCTTTTAATATCGCTGCCTTTGTTGCTAATGCGATGGTTGCCTTTCCTGCTTGTGCGCCTTTACTTAAATAGCTGCCAACTCCTGCCGTCAATAAAGAAATGATTAAACTTTGAACCTTATGTTGACAATAAGCTTTCCAACTGAAGTTTCCTTGAATACCAGATTGAATGGCAAAAATAATATCTCCAATACCTTCTGAAATCAAAACTTGAGCAAAATAATGTGCAGCACCACACGTACAGACATCTAAAGCAACACCAGCTACAATTTGTGCTACTCCCAGCATTGCACAACAAAATGCATCCCAGTTCCAAAAACTCTTAGCTTCCGTCAGTGACAAAACTGAATCAAAGCACGTCGCAACATAATCCATAATCTCCGGGGGTATCTGTCCTGTTTGAAACATTGTCTTAAGATTTTTCTCACTAATCTTAACTTTCGGCAAAGTTCGAAATACACCTGCGCATTGTTTCAAAATATTACTGATACTATCAATATATTCATCAAGTTCTTTGTTTTTTGATGTTACAAAATCACCGAAACCTGTCCAATTGGCATTATCATACGATAAATCATCTTTTCGTTTTAACTTAAATACTTTTGCAACTACATCTTCAATTTGTTTTCGAATATCTTCTATTCTTTTTTCAGGATCGCCAGTAAATTTAAAATATACCTTAGCACCTTTGATTACATTAGATTCTCTCAAACGATAGAAAAGTTCTTTGCTGACATCGTTTGCCGTACGTAATGCTAGATTTTCTTCTGAAATTCGGCCGTTATTATCATATAACGTAATTAAGATATTTTCCAAATTTGCATAAAATGCTTTATAAGTATCAAAAGAACTTTTACCATAAGATTTCGAAAGTAGCTCATAAAGCGTTGATTCAAAGATATCATTATCTTGTAGAACGGCTCGAAGCAGTTCAAACTCTTCTTTACTAAGACCAAACTTTTCTTTAGTCAAATCAGAGTCATTATATTCGATTGCTTTCAATAGAGTTTTTTTAATGAGTTTACTTTTATTATGTAGTGAACCGATTTGGACAAACGTCAACGAATCTATTTTTGATTTGATTTCTTCTCGATTTTGATCTGTTAATAGAAGTGAAATTTTGGATAAATAGTTTTTAATTGGCTCTATAGCTCTATTGTCAAGATAAAATTCAGTGTATGAATGAATGAATTTAACAGAATGAAATTCAAGAGCGAGATGTGTAAAAATGTCGTTAATTTTCTCATCATCTTTTATTCCAAGTTCTTTCATAACTTCAGTCAACTGACATTTTGAAACGGGATTTTTGTTTGATTCTAAACATACTGTTTCTCCTGATGTCAGTGTGTAAGATTCTTTTTCTAGGAAAAATTTCTTAATTTTTTTTCTTTTGCCACAAAAAACTTTATCATTAGTACTATCATCAAATTTTTCATTTAGATTTTCGTTTATTCGGAGTTTCTCATTAAATTCTAAATATTTTAATATATTCAATATTTGTTCATCAGTAATTTCCGAACCATGTGGAAATGATTTGATTGTATTGATGAAAGTAGTTTTCTTAATGATATCTCCTATGCTTAAAGGAAACAACTTATCATTACCAGATAATGAATTGTGTATTACCTCCTGAAGTTGTAATGTTTTTTGCACTAAAATTGTTTTTTCTATATTCTGTTTTAGAGTTTCGGATATTTGTGTACCGATCTGAATTTTTTCTTCGAATACACTACTTAATAAAGCATCAAGTACCTCTTTTTCCGCATTGTTAAATCCCATTTTTTCACATATGATTTTAAAAACGGTATTTCGATTAATTCTATCTTCATCACTTAGCGAAATTGCTGTTTTTCCTAATAATAAACGTTTAATATCATCGCCTAATCCACAAAATACAGGATCATCTAATTTTCCAACTAGTTCATCTCGGATTTGTTCAGTGATTCGAATCATTTCTTCTTTTCTAACAAAACCATCAGTGGCAGCCAAAAATAAGTCTTTGTGAAAAACTTTCGTTTCAAAGAAATTTTCTTTTATAATTCGTTTCTTAAAAGTCCAATTATGTTTCTGAGACTTATTTAGAACTTCTTCCAAAGCATTCAATACTTCCTCTTGACAATATTTGAATGAATTTGGAAATAGTATACAGTCTCGATTTTTTTGATACAATTCAAGAGGAGATAGAATTCCTAATTGTTGAAGTTCGTTTCTGAATGTTCTGTATTGAATTTCAGGGAAACCTAACTTTGAAAATTTTTCATAAGTAAACAAATCGTCTTTATTTAGCGAAAATGATGTCATATTCGCATTTGGAATTTGTTTCCATTTCTCATCGGTTGATTCTATTAAAACTTTCGATCCAATAATTATTTTCTTACTGATTCGAGTATCTTTGATAAGATCAAAATCATCTTTTAATATTTCTTCGTAGATTTTAGTTGGATTATCTCCTGTTATTGTTCCACAACGAAAACTATCCGAGTTTATCTCACTACCAATCGCTTCTAAAATTGCATTTATATGATGTGACAATATTTGTGCTTCGCCCTCATTCTGTTTCTTGAAATAGTTCACATTCAATGCTTGTCCTTTTCTGCGCGTTATATGATTTAGAGAGAGTAAAATTTGATTACGCGACATGACAGTATTTCGTTTGGATTCTAATAAGCTGAGAGCTTTTTTAAGATTTACTTTTGCTTTAATTTTTGCGTCTCTATCTCCACTACCTAAATGAATAATGCAAAATGCATTATAATAATGAGCAACTTCTGAAAACTCTGGATGATCCTTAATGATTTGGCTATAACAATCCTGTGCTTCTCTATATTTTTTCTTATCCATAAGTAATTTACTTAATTTGATTAATTCAGCAGGTTCAGTTATTAAACCATAAGTATTGAAATCGAGTTCTCGTAACATTCTCTCTTTGAATTCAGTTAATTTTTCTAAAATCAAATCCGAACCAGTTACATATACTTTACTTAGTTTTTCATCCATCTCATTTAACCAAAAAGCCCAATGATTCTGTAAACTATTTAATTGTAACTCGAAGTAGCCCATATTGAAATCGATATCATGATTATCCCAGCGAAAAGGTCGGACCAGTTTAGACTCAGTTACTTCACGCAAAACTTCCGAGCCGGGAAAGAAATGATTTTCTGTTTTCGGCAAATTTTCTTGTATTTTCAATTTGATTTCGTCTTTGAACAAATTAAATTCTTCAAATAGAATATTTTCTATTTTAATTTTTGGAAAGGATTTTTTAACAATTTCATCTAATCGCTCTTTTTCTTTCTCGTCTCGTTCATTCAAAAGAAAATCAACAGTCATATCGGGTATAAATACCATCTTACGTGAATCATATACAATATAAGTTCCTGTACCTCGTTTTCCGGCTCTGGCTGTTCTGCCAAATGCCTGTTGGTGAACACGCAAATTGGCCGGTATATAAGATAGAATAACATGTAATCCTCCGTTTGTCTCAAGCACTTTATCAATACCTAAATCAGTTCCTCGTCCAGCAATATTTGTTGCAATAATAATATCACCTGGAGTTAAGATATTTTTTTCAAATTTTCGATAAGCTCTATCATAGGTATAGATATTTGCTTGCTGAAATTCTTGTCGAACTTTTGCAGCAATCTTTTCTAAATCGGCAATCTTTTCACAGATAATGAGAACAGCACGCCGATTGTCTCTTTTCTCGTCTGATAATATTTGATTGAAATCTCGAATATTTTTTTCTAATTTCATATGTTGCGTCTGATGAAAAACAATAACTTCTTTTAAAGAATTAATATCTTGGTTAATTTCATCGATCTCCTTTCTTTTCCGATTCATTTCTATTTCACATTTCTGTAGTTTATCGTAATATTTTTCGGATTTATTTTCATCATCACTTACAGATGAATTTTGAATTTCTTTTGTTAAACTCTTCTTCTCTGTTTTCAGTTTATTTATTTTCTCCAGCAAAACATTGTAATTCCGTATTTTATCATTTAATTCTGTATTTAGATCTTTTAGCTGACTATTTACTATGTCTAATAAACTTTGGGAAGTATGTCTTATCTTTTCTATTTCCTTTCTTTCACTTTCACCTATTTCACGTGTAGATTTCATTTTGTCTCTAATATCTTCTACAATCTTTTGAAACCATTCTGATTCGTTTCGACCAACAAATTCTTTTCTCTTTTCGTATCGAAATCGATATTTTCGAAAACGTGGCAATTCAAAACAATCAGTTCCATATTCAAGAGTTAATAATTTTCTTTCTTCTTGATCACCGACTGTTCCACTCATTCCGTTTAAAGTATCATAGAGTTTAAAAAAGTTCATATTCGATATGAAAACTGCTTTTAAACTTTCGTCACTTAATTTTCCACAATGTTTCAATTGTAAAAACTGATGTAATCCATTACTCCAGCGTGTATTCATCTGTTCAACACCGGTATCTTTATCCATAATTAGAATTTCGCCGTGTTTAGTTGATTCTATGTCACCTATTATATAACTATCATTACTTTCAATATATTTCGCAGTGTATGCATTGGTAATCCAAGTTTTTAAATTGATATCAATAAATTTTGTTAGTGTCCTTGGGATTTGTAAATCTTTATTTTTAATCATTAGTTTGATATACTTATGGATCTTTTCAACATTTTCTTCGCTATAGAATTGTTCAACTCTGTTATTAACTGATACCCAAATTTGAATGAATAAATCTCGTAAATGCCTCATGTCAGCAATATTATGGGAAATATAGAGAATCTTTTCGGCATTATCAATAAACATATTATCAACTTCGTCTACAATCAAGATATCACCTATTCGATCTCTAATATCTTTACCGAAAAATTTCGTCAGCAAAATATCTCGTTGAAAATAACCTGTCTCGCCATAAATGATCTGGTTCTCTTGATATCGTTCTTTTCTTAGTGCTTGTCCTGTCTTTGGATTATCACAATCATCATCACAATTATTACTGACGTTTAAACCAAATAAAGCAAAGAACTTTTTATAACCTTCATCGGGATCATCACTCGCATCTCGTACAGCTAATACTTTCGAACTCGTTACAATATCAACTCGATCACCGATTAATGCACGTGAAACTGCTAACATAGCAGTTATCAATGATTTACCTTCACCAGTAGATATATTACCTAATCGACCTTTTGCTGAACCAGTCGGCTGTAAAAATATAGCTAAAGCGATTAATTGAATATTTCTTGGATGATATCCGTGATAGATTTTCACTGCTCGTATAATAACAGCCATAATCTCTGGTAGATATTTTTCATTCAAATCAAAGTATGTTTTACTAGAACGTTTTTCTTCTCGTAATATGTCAGCCCATTGTCGAATATCAGCTTTTGTCCAATCCTTAATTACTTTATTAGATAGAGGTGTACAAATTGACGAATATTTTTTTTCACTTTGTAATGTATTTTCCTCTTGATTGAATCTTTCACCACAAAATGAATAGATTGTCTCGAATAGATTATTAATTTTCTTCTCTTCTAACAAATTTTTAATGCTCTCATTTATTTTCCCTTCACCTACTTTTTCCTTCATTGCTTCAATCAATTGGTCTATATTTAACTCGTAATGTTGTTGTTCAGTATAAGTTTTCAAACAATCTTCCCACTGATCGAACGGTTTATTTCTTATCGCTTCTAGACTACCTTTATCTAAAGTAAAACCACCAAAAGTTAACTCTTCTAACAATTCATTGAGCTTATTTAGAGTACATTCATTGTTTGGAATCTTTTTTATGAGATCTAATAAATTTTCTAAGATTTCGTTTCCTTTCTCTTCACGAATTTTATATAAATAATCTACGGCAGTCGATTGATCAATCTCAAAAGCATGTTGAAATATATGAATTTGTTCGAGATTTTTGAAAAAAACCTTTTTTTCAATCGGTAATTTCCATAGAGATAACGGTTTCAAAGACAATTTCTTCAATAATTGTTCGTCTAAATCTATACGACTCTCGATAATTAAATCAATGAATTCGATCAAAAATCGTTTAAAATTATTTTCTAATAACTTCGATTCCTGATCTTCGCATTCTAAAATCAATTGACCAAATACATCCAAGAAGAAACACTTCGGGTCCATAGGTAGTTTTAATTTTCCTTTCAAATGACTTAGCCTATTTTCTAAATCATCGCCAAGATTTCCTCGTAACATTATTTTTAAATTCGATTCAATACGTAGAAATAAAATATTATATAACCATGAATGACTTTCAGTATTTGTGAGAAGCTTTTTCACTATGGACAGATCTCGAATATCCGAAAGTGAGGAAATGATTTTTGTGAGATCAGTTAACGAAATCTTCGTTAGATTACTTCGACTTACCTTAACGATTATCTCAAACCAATCATTGATGCAGTCTTTAGCAAAAAACTGAGAGAATTTTATACTATCATGAAATCGATCTTCAATTTCGTTTTTGTCATCAATTGAAATTTGTTCAAGTATTTTGCGTTTGACTAATTCAATTTTTAATGCATTTAACTCTTCTAACCACGATAAAACAGGTTTGGAAAATATTTTCTCTAATTCAAGTGTTTGATTATTTTCTTTAGCAAACGATAAAATCCAATCAAGCTGTCGTTTTTCTTCATAGTTACAGAATACTTGTACATCTATTTGATTTGAAGAACTTGTAATGTGCTCAATAATTCGATTCTTATCAAAATTCACAGAAATCTCTCCTCCTTTCATCCGAACCATTTCATAAACTAATTTACAATTCTTTTCAAATGTCTCACGAGAAACTTGATTTCGATCGAAACATAAAGATGAAAGAATACCTACGTTGAAATTATCATCGACAACAATGCTGGATCGCTGCTCGTCCTTTGGATAAAAAACCTCAAATTTTCCATTATCTTTAACGAGAAGAATTTCTTTCGTATTCACGATTGGATTTGGTTGCTTATCACAAAAACGAATATCTATTGTATTATTAATGATCTCCTTTAAACATTTCACCAGTATATCAGTTTGATTTCCATCGGTCAAATGAAAACGAATCGAACTTTCAAGTTCGTTTTCATCTAACGAACAAAATAGAAAACAATATCGGATAAGATTTGTTAGATATTTCTCCTTGTTATCATCATTATTGAAGCTTTCTACTGTTTCGAATAATTTGCTAAACGAACTTTTCTTTCGATATAAATAATCCAATGGTAAAACATCAAAAGTATGCAAAACATCATGAAGATTACTTTCGTTGATCTTTTCAAGATCAGCATTAAAATTCTCATCGATAATTTTATATAGTGTACCATTTAACTTGTCCTTATTCTCTACATTCTTCCAGATTTCGTCAATATAATCTAATAATTTCTCATAACCTTTTCGATTTTTTAAACACTGAAATAATTTATATGATAAGCTTACGACTAAAAGAACAAATTCCTTAGCCACGTGATGATTCGTCTGTTCAATCTCAGATCTAATTTTAATGATATAATAATGTGTCAATAAATATTTCAAATCACTTAAATACTCGCTAATTTGATTGATTTTCATGAGTGAATTGAACAAATTCTTAATCTGCTCCCGTTGTAATATCTCGGAATATTCATCTAATCTGATCATCAAAATAATTACGTTTTTTCGATTTACTTCTATGGATTGATGGTTCATATGAACGCTCTCATGGATTTGTGCTAAATCAATTCGCTCAGCTGAAGCATCATTGGATTCAACAGGTGTCAGCCGTTCATCTTTTTTGTTATTTAACATTTTTTCGATATCCTCCAAATCCTTTTTACTCACTTTTTCTGAATAATTTATATTGGGAAAGTCTTTTTTTAATCCTTCGAAAAAACTGGGTTTATTCGAATCTTCTAATAAATCCATCAAATACAAAATATTCTCAACTATTGTTACAGTTGATTGGAAAGAAATACCAAATGCATTTTGTTGTCGTTTTTCAATAAATTCTTCATATTCCCTTTCTACTAAAACATAATTGTGTTCCTTATAAATTTTATATTTGAGACATACTCTCAATTCGTCTATTTCTTTCCTTAAATCAATATCGAATGTTTCAAAAAAATTCAATGCGTCAAGAAAATCTGAAAGGATGAGTTGATCTTCTCGGTCAGGAAACATCGCATCGACAATAATCGAATGAAAATCTTTTATAAACTTAATAATCACACTTATTTGAGACTCGGGTTTCAACGCGATTAATCCTTCGGATCGAAATAAATAGGCTGACTGTTTAATAATTTCGATAAGGTTTTCTCGAGTTATTTTCTTTCGAAAACTTTCAATTGCTTTCCGAAATAATTCTATTCGATGTGATGCATACAAATGATTTATCATTGGATAAATTTCATCGAATTGGTCTGCATCAGTCCAAGAAAAATCATAAACCTGTTTCTGATTATTTACATTAACCTCTACAGAACATCGCTTCAATTCATTATCAAGTTCAGATGAAAATCTTCCGCGCTCATCGAAAAAATAATCAAGTTTCTTTCTATTAAAAATGCTTTTTTGTTTGATTCGACGCCTATCTGGAATTGTTACTGAACGATTCGAATCGATTATATTTCCTTCAAAAAGAGTATTTGCCTTTAAATTTTCAAAAACTCGTTGATTTAACTGCGAACCTAAAATTTGTTCTGTTTCATCGTTATTTTTATTTTCGATATCTTTTGCTAAACGATCAAATATTTCTATTCGATTTTGATAAAAAAGATCGTCCTTATCTTCATTGAAAACTTTCTCAAATTTTTCCAAACTAAGTTCAATGAATTTCTTTTGAAGTTGATGATATTGTTTGTTCTGCGACTGCAAATTAAGTTCATATTGATGCATGATATTCTTTTTTCTATTCGATAATTTCAATTCGCATGAACTTTGCTTTTCGAAAATGGGCTTATACAATGATTCGATTAGATTAACAAATAAACTAGTTTCATATTCTTCTAAAAGGATGATTAGTTCATCAAATTGACCGTTTTGATTCGATGAATTCAATTGGTTTATTGTGTCACTTAGTTTCTGTACATGTTCAAATTCAAATCTGATGCTAGTTTTAAGATGATAAAATAGCTCGGGAAGTAATTTATCGTTCCTACTATTCAATAGATTTAAAAATTTTGTTTGTTTATCATCATTTTCGTTTGCAGCATGTTTTTTGAAAAATTCTTCAAGTTGCTCATCAGCTCTCTTTTTTGTGAACGATTCAATTTCTTCAATATAATGGCGTTTCATTTTATCTAGTACTTCATCAGTAGTAATACTGTTATGAGCGAAACGTAAATATATTAACCAATCTTTGTCCATTTTCGTAGTAGAACAATCGAACAATTTCTCTTCATGTTTGTATGAAAATCGAATTTTTTTAATGTTTTCAATATCTGTATCTGTCGGACGGACATCGTCTATATGTTTACTATCTGTTCCATTAGGTTGTAGAGTTTGAAGTTGATCTGCAAATTGTAATTGTCTTTCATAATGTGATTGAACTTCATTAATAAGTTCTTTTAATCGAGAATAGAACTCGACTTCATTTATGTCTATGTTGAAATCACTGTTTAAAACTAATAAACCTCGATAAACAGCATTCTCGAAATCATCTAATTTGTCTAATTTTCCCGATAAATCATTTAAACAGCCTATGACAGATGCAGTATTGTATTCGCATACTTGAAAATATTTTATGAGAAGAATTTCTTGAAAATCATTTGAACACTGGTGTTTATATAAACTCTTTCGAAGTCTTCGAATTATTTCAAATGCATTGGGTAAAATCTGAAAACCACATGAATTTAAGAGACAACGAAATAGTTCATCATTTTTTACATAAATATCTCCAAAAAATTTTTCTAATAATTTATCATTTTTTGTAAGATGAGAGAAGTTATCCGTTAGTATTTCACTTAAAATATTCTCACATTGACTCCATCCTTCATCTTTCGATTGCTTATTATCTTGAAGATACAAATTGATTCGGGTGTTGATATTATTTGCAGTTAATTTGTTTTTTACTTTCAATCGAAATAAAGTGTCCTTTAAGTTTTTATATAATCTGTCCGATATTTGTTTCACATTATTCCGACAATGATTTTCAGTATCTTTTAATAAACTGCACTTAATCCGTTCTAATTCCTTAACGTATTCGGCAGTTTTCTTTAGTTTTCGACTATTTTCCAATTCATAACGTAAACTGTGATAAGAATAATCTAAGTCAAAAAGAACAGTATTAACTTGTGACGAATCAGTTGTTTGAGAAATATTCGAAGAGTTCTCATAAAAATAACTTTCTTGGCATAATGTTTGGAACATAAAAAGGCATTTTTTAAGATTTTCATTATCTCGATTAAAAATAAATCGAACTTGTTGTTTATAACTCTCTATGCCTTTAGAACGTGTTGATTTATCGTCATAAGTATCATAAAGTTCACTAAAGACTTGTAAAATAGTAGTTTCGACAAGGTTTTCTATACTAGATAATGACGTATTTTCTAAAGGATCATTTTGAAATTTGTTTTTAATAGAACTCTTGATTTCTTCTATGAATTTCATGTCTTCGTTTCTTTCGTTCAATTCTTCATCGACCTGCTCACTTTTGACTTGCGCTTCTCCAGGATGATTAATTAAACTCAATAATTCGTTATAAACAAGTTCAGCATTATTCTCTTGATTTTTATTAATTTTCTCTTCAAGTATTTGTTTCTTACTTTCATCAAGATGTACATCTGTCGACAGCAATTTATTCACGATATTCTGACAATTTTTCGGTAAATAATCTTTCTCTCTTAAAGATATTATTAATTCATTTAAAAGAAATTTATTTCGAATTTTTTTCAAAAGTTCTCTACGCATATCGGCTAAGAATGTTAATGGTGTAGAAAACGAGTCTATAACTCCTTCGAACTTTTTCAATAGCTCTAGTTCTATAGTATCCTTTGCAAAGTGATCAAAATTATGAATAATAACTTCAAAAAAATTCCTATCACTTTTTAAAGATCGTCCATAAAAATAATCTTGTTTTTTTGCTAAGGTATTCTGAAAATTTGTAACTAACAAAATAAGTTTCTCGAAGGTTGGTCCTTCATTAAATTCTAGCATTTCTAATTCCAATGGAGTCCAAGATGAATCATAGTGATGGAAGTCAATACTTGAACATTCTAATCGAAATAATCTTCTCAGATCAAATATTGCAATAACTTGTTCAACATCATCAAGAATATTAATCTGTTGAAAAAATCGCCTTTCTTTTATATTTCTTAATCCATTTTCTATATTGATCAACAGAGTATTATTGAAATCACCTAGATTTTCTTTTAAATCTGATAATTGATTGAAGAAATCTTTATCCAAATAAGAAAATAGTAATTCTTCACTTTTGCGATTTAAAAAATCTGAAACTAAGTTAAGATTTGTCAATAAATTGTTTCTAGTTTGTTCATTACGTTTATCTAAAAACTTTTCGATAGTTATTAACTGCATTCGTTTCATAAAATCTAAAAAAACTTTATTGAGTTCGGAATTATTGAAATCGTCATTAGCAATCTGCATTTTTCGAATATTTTCATTAATTTGATTAATGTTAATCTCACAACTATAATGAATTCCTCGATAAAATCGTTCGATTTGATTTAAATCAAATTCTATGTCGCTTAATTCTATGTCAGAAATTTTGTTAAATACTTCTACCGTTAACTCTAATGATTTCATTAAGATAGGATATGGATTGAATTCTTCGATTTTTGTTTCCTTTTGAGTCATTTTATTTATATCGGCTGTGATGGATACACAAGCCTTCTCTTCCAAGACTTTATCGTCTCTTGTATTATTAAGTAGTTTATTGAATTCTGGAAACGATTGAAAATACTCTCTGTTTTGGTCATCATTTGTTAATTTTCGAGCAAATGGTGTAAAAGCAAGGCTTTCAATTTGATTCAAAAGAGGTTTTCTATTTTTTGGAATGTCAATGTCAATGTCTTGATCTAACTGATAATGGATTTCATGTTCATGCTCATGTTGTACTTCTTCTTGAGTTTTTTGTAAAAGATCTTCACTCAAAATAATTTCATCTTTCATTAATTTAAGTTTGTCATTCGTGGAATGATTCAACTTTTTCCTATTCTCTCGTAAATTATTAGTTAATCTCGCTAATTCTTTCTCAATATGAGCTTCTTCTTCTTTCTTTTTTCTCAAAAGAAGTTCTTTGGCCTCTTTGTATCTATTTAAAGATTCTTTCATTTGATTATACTCTTGTTGATATTGACCATGCAAATTCAAATGTTTTTCTAAACTAGCCATAGAAATCTGTTGACTTAATGTTTCTGCATTTCTTTTATCTCGTAACTCTTGCTGGTTGGTCATAAGTTTAACTTCCTTTGTTAAGTTTAATGTTTCTTGTTTGTTCAATTCTAAATTTGTCGTTCTTAACTCAGTTAAACTATTTTGGTATTGATTTATTTCCGTTTCTAGTTGTGCTATCGTTTGTTCTTTTGATTCGACATCACTTTTTAATTGTTCTTCTTGTGATTTAAAATCTGCTATACTATTTTCAAATTGTTTTTTTTCTAAGTTGAGTTGGTCGATTCTCTGTTGATGTGAATTATTTCCGATAGCTTCTGAAAATTCGTTCGACTTCTCAAGTAAAGATCGATCTAAGTTCGAAGTATTAGTGAAATCTCTTTGAATGCTTTGCGATTCGTTTTCAGTTTCTTGTCTAAAGCGACTTGTTTCATTTTCTTTTGATTTTCCTTTTGTATTTTTATCTCTTCTTGGATTTTGTTTATATTCGTCTTCACTTTTACTCATTCTATAGGCTATAGTACGGTTAATCAATAATGGAAGGGGAGCAAGAATGGCAGGAGCGAACAGCATGAACGCAACTGTCGCAGTTGTGGATAGACCTCTATTTCCAAACTTGCTATTTTTTTCTACTTCTTCTCGTAATCTAGGATTTTTCTCTAGTAGATAGGGAATATCAATTTCACCATTTTCGGGTTTTGTTCTGTGAAAAACGCTTCTCTTATTTTTGACTTGATCCATACCAACTATCGTTGGATCACCACCTTCTCCTCCTTTTGATGCATTATCACCTGACAAATCAGGATCTTTACCTGATGAACCTTCGTTTCGTTGAACTCGATCTCTAATTCGTTCGAACAAATCACCCTGCCTATCATTAATTCTTAAGTTTCCTGGCTGCCCACCTCGACCACCACGTCCTGAAAAACCTGCACTTCCTCCATCTCCGCTCTTGGTTCCTGCCTGGCCAAGTCCAAAAGTAGTTTGCCCACCTGCAAACCCACGCGTATCTTCTGCCGTTCCATTTTCTCCATCTTTTCCTTTACGCCCTTTATCGCCATTACCACCTAACTGGCCATCGCCACCTTTACCACCTGAAAGCTCGATAGACTCTAACAGATCTAAACCTTCTATAGGTCCATCTATTTTAATAAAAATATTTCCTGCATGCTGACCATGTCGACCGAATTCGCCATCGTATCCAGAATGACCCCCTGGGACATCGATATAATCACGTTTCTTACGTCCATCTGATGCTTGTTTAAACTCAAATTCTGGAGCATTTGATCCTGTAGTTACTAACTTAACAGATTCTCCTTTATTTCCACATTTCATTTGTTTAGTTCGAACTATCAAATCAATACCTGGATAGTATTCACTCGTATCTAGTAGAAAGGAGCCTCCGCAAAGAATTTCAATTTGATCGACATAACAACAAACAAACTGTCTATAATCAATCTTTAGTTCATTGAATTGATTAACAGCTTCGTTATATTTTTTGTTGAATCTATTATTCCACTCATGCTGTTGATATTTGATTTTGATTCTGTCATTAGCAAGTGATCGTATCTCTTGAGGTAAATCATCGAATGAATTGATTCCATTTGTTGACACTTGTAAAATTTCATTATCGAAATACAAGGAGCCCGTTCGACATTTTATCTCTCTTTCAATCGTATCTTTTACATTTCGATGAACTTCTCGATAGGAAACATTACCACCGGTGGAGATTCTATATTTTTTAATTTGAATCGAATCTCCCTTGATATTTTTACCAAGTTCAGAAACTAAGTCACCATTTAACGGACCTATGAAACTCTTAGCTAATTGTTTTAATTTAATATGTAAGTTAGAGATTTCATCACGAAATAAATTAGCTGGATTATTTACGTAATCGTCAACATATTTTTCCTTGAGATTTTCAAATAAAATCTTTTTCAGATCCTCATCCGCTCGTAAAATATTGTATAATTCTGATAAATTTTGCACCGAGTAGATCTTCTTGAAAATTGGCTGTCTTTTCTCGTAAATCTGCTCATCAAGAAATGCTCTATTTAAATTCCGTAGAAATTGCTTCCAAGCTTCATTTTGATTTATCTCATTTTCCTTTTCTTCCAATTTCTTTTCCTGATCTTCTTTTTCTACAATAATGTGTCCTTTTCTGATTTCTAAAGCGTTTTTCTCGTTCGATAATTTTGATTTTTGTTCTATTGTTTCATTTAATTTTTTCTGTGTCTCCTCTATATTCTTGGCGATGTCTTCCGATTGAATCTGTAAATTTTCTACTTTCTCTTTTATTTCTCGAATTTTTACTTCATTAGGAACCATACCCTCACTTAATGTAGCTAATGCTTTCTTCAAACGATCCAACTTCGCTAAAATATTTATCTGTTTGTTTTCTAAATCTTCAATCCTTTTCTTATAAATTTCTTCTGATTGATTCAAAGTACCGAGAATTTGATTTAAATCGGCTTCAATCTTAGAAATTTCCTCTCGTTTTTCATCGAACTTTTCTAATAATTGTTTTTCGCTTTCTTCATCTTGTAGAATAAGATTTGTTAAATGTATTTCTTCATTTTCATTTTCTGTGATCTTTTCTACACGAATTTGTTTTCTTCTCTCTTGTTCACGAAGTAAAACTCTAACAATTGCTGTTTTATACAGATCTTTAATCTTAATTAAACTAGAATTTGAAATCTCTTCGAATTCCGAATCAAATTGATTTAATTTCAATCCGAGTTTATCTAAATTTTCGTCGACATTCGATAAAAAGTAGAACAACATCTGATTTGTATATGATGAAAAAATCGCATTAAATTCTTTCACTGAATAAATTTGAGCGAATTGTTCGATTTCATTTTGATAGACTCGTGTCAATTCATTCGATGTGTGTAGTTTTTGTTTATAAGCGTATGTTATTCGTCTTTGACATAAATCTTCTAACAGATCTGTTTCATTCGCTAGATCAGAGAGAATTTTATTGATATTTAACTTGAAATTAAGATTTTCATTCTCAATTAATTTCATTGTTTGATCATGTTTTAAAACGAAATATAGATCATCTTGTTTAAAAAGAAATAATTCTCTTCTGTTTTGAACTTTGAGATCCGTTAGAGTTTCACTTTGTTTTCCTATTTCAAAAATTGTCACTTGCGAAATATGACCTTCATCGGAATATTCACTATTAACTTCTGATAAAGCTTTAGAGAGATCCGAATGATCTTCTAATTTCATTAGAATTTTCACTAGACCTCGTTCAATAATGGGATCAAGTGGATTGAAACCATCGATTTCATATAAATGTGATCGATCTAAGATCTCAGCAATCAAAACCGAGATAAAAGATTCGATTTGACTCAATGTTTCTCCATGATTGAATTGATCACATCCTGATAAACGAATAAATCGAGGCATTAAAAACTTTTCAATATCTTTAAACTGAGTAAGTTTGTTTTCTTTCAGAGTGATGTTCAACTGATCAAGAGTTTGCCTTTCAGCTTGCAATTGAATTAGGTACTTATCAACTGAATCAACATGTTCCAGTAAACGATTAATATTTCTGATTGCATCTTGCTGAGCTTGTTCATGTCCTTTAGGATCCGGTAGAGGATAAGCATAATTTCCACCCCAGAGACTGAACCCATAATGAGTTAAACTATTTATTAGAGACGACTTACTCAATAAGATTGATTTCTCTTGAATTTCTTGAATTTCTACCAGAGACTCTAAATAATTCAACTGACGTTTAGTGACTTCGAATTTATGAATAACATTTTTTTCCTTTAAATTGCGTTCAGCTTCTTCTTTGTCACAATTTAACTTGTCTAATTCGACTTTTAACTGTTCGATTCGTTTTTGTTTATCTTCTAACGATGAGAGTGTTGTGTTTACATTATTCGATTTGTCTTCGATATTCGAGCTAGCATCAGGATTCTTTCTTTTAGAATCAGCTTGTTTATCCTTATTTTCTTCTGCTAAACAATTACGATATTCTTTTAATAAATCTATTTGTTGTTGATATTGATCTTTAAGAAATGTTGGACATGGATCTGATTTATTTATTTGTAGAAGCAAATGTTCGTAGCTCGTAATTTGCGTGTCAATATCTTTTTGTTTTATTTCATTATATTCAGTCACAAATCGAAGTCTAATATCAAAGATTTTTTTCTTTTCCTCTATAAATGAAATGATCTCTTTTTTATGCTTAATGCCTGATTCGATGTATCTTATATTTTCTTTAATAGTGGCAATTTTCGAGGCATTTTCTGCGATTTCTTCCCGATGTTGCGATAAATTACCTAGCTTCTCTGTGATTTTGTGTTTAATATCTCTACATTCGGTTTCTTTGCCTTTGATCTCATCTTCTATCTTTTTTATTTTCTCGTCATATTCCTTTTTTATTTTTTCTGCTTCATCTCTTAATACATGTAGTTTTTTTATTGTTTCATCGACAACTTTTTCTAAATCCTTAGTATGTTTTCCATTTTTGATATCTGCAACAGAATGTGGATATCTTTCTGTTGAGCACAAGTGTTCAAGCAACTCCTTTTTTGTTTCTTCTTCATTTATACTCCCTGCAGAATCAAGCTTATTTGAGACAAACTCTATTGCTTGTTCTACCGCACCTATATAATGGCAATATCCTACTCCTGGAGTGACGAGGCAGTCGCGATGTGGACGACTTTTTAATTTTAAATTAGGATCGTAATTATTTGATCCTCCTACGTCCACAAAAATTTTTTCAGCTTTTTTTCTCCGAATTTTTGCTTTTCTTTCTTCTTCGAATTTTTCTTTATTTTCCTTTAGTTTTTTGATTTCGTTATCTATGCTTTCGCTTTTAGTGTTCAGATTACTTATTTCTATCTCAATTTTAGTAATAAAACCAAGTAAATCGTTATTTCTTTGTTCTAATCTCTCTACTTCTTTCTTTTCTGTTTCTAAGCTATTCTTCAACTTATGTGAAGCATTGCGTTTGCTTTCTAAATGCTGCTCTAGTATGTTAACGTCTTTCTTCTCTTTCTCGATATTGAATCTATCCCAATACACTGTTGTTTTATATTCGTCTTTTTGTAGCTCTTTTGATTGCTGAGCCTGATAAAACTCAAGCTTATATATGAATTGAAATACTTTTGCCTTTAATAGATCGTTCAAGTTTTCATCATTTTCTTGTATTCCTCGATTCTCATCAGCAATATTTTGAGACAAGTTATAAATCTGTTCTTTTTTTGTCATGATAGCTCTTTTTAGTTCTCCAATATTGTTAAGGCATTGTTCGAAATCAGCGAGTTCACTTTTTAATTGACGTTTTCTTTCATCGATATTTTCGTTAACATCTGTTTCTAACTCTGCGATCATTTCATTAATTTCCTCTAGTCGTTGTTTTTTAGTCTCTTCACCACTTACTTGAATATGTTCATTTTGTTTTGTCAAATAATCTTGAATCGTTTGATCTAAGTTTCCTTTTTCCAGTTCTTCGTTAATTTTTTTTGATTTATTGAATAGCGCATCTCTTCTCAAAAGATATTTTAAAATGCCAAATTCTTTCTTATTCAAAAGCTTGATTCCCTGATCATTGCTACAACTTAAAGCATTTTTCTCATTGTCGTAACCATACCGAATATCTTTGTAGAAAAACTTGCATAAATCTCCGTTTTCCTCTACTTTAATATTAATCTCCTTCAATAAATTAATTAAAGAATTTTGTTTCTTTTCAAGTTCTTTCTTTACTGTTATTATTTGTTCATGTGTACATGAGAATACCTTATCTTTGTTACATTGAGTAGGTGTACAGTTTCGAATAGATTGAATCAATAATTCACGAGAATTTTCTTCTATATTAGTGAAACATACCCGAACGTTGGTAATATTCAACAATTTCTCGAGATTTTTCTTTATACAATTTGGATCGGGATTTGAATATGGATTATCAATAATAAATAAAAATGATCGACTGTCGAATTCGTAAATTTCATTAAGAATTTGAAATGTAATTATTGATTCAATATTAATTGTTTGATCATCATCAAGATGAATTATGAATAACAAAATAGCGGAATCGTTCGACTGAAATAATTTTTTAATATTTTCACAATTGGATTTGAAATTTTCGTGATCAGATCCACTTAAATTCGGACTGCATTTGATTGTACAGTAGCTTTGATCAATTTGTAATACTGTTGTTGAATTTAAACTATTTTCCAATGATAATCTATCATCAACGCTTTCGTCAAATATAATTACAGAATATTGGTTCCTATCCGAGATAAACAAATAGTTTTTATTCATGTCTGATTCGACTTCAAATATGAATGAACAGAGATTAAATTTACATAGGAAAATATTTTTCTCAACTATTTGTCTTGACTGGCCGCAATCAATGAAGTAGAATAATACTATTCCACTTATAACGAAAAACTAAAGGTGGATTTCACGATTGACGGATTTTTACTAGAATCGTTGCTTTTTATAAATCAGCATGATCTAGTGAAAGAACATTCTCAACTGTTGTTCTACTTTCGATCGTACTCTCACTCTCAACAGGAATAACAGAACATAAGATGTTTCTATTGGAATGCAACAGCAACCCTACGATCGTCATTGTAATTCAGAGCTTACATTTTAAAGCAACCAACTGATTAATAAAATGATTGTCAATATAGATGTTGATAATATCAATTCATCTAAAAATGAATAAATATCTCAGTCATTCAAACACTATGTCAATAATAAGAAATACGAAGTGGGTTTTAATTTCATTTATCATGTGATGCATATATTCAAATAACTGATACTGATACATATTTCAGTATGTTGTAAAATTGAGGCTGATAACAGCTGCCATTTAGGTTTCTCAAGTTGTTAGCGTCCTCAGATGGCACTAGTGGCCGCTAACTTTATTTTGTTCCTTCCTTCCCAAGTCACTCCATCCTGCCTCCGGATTCAGTCGGAATCCGTCGGAACCAGCACCGGATAACACCAGAAGACGGCATGATTCCCAATCAAATCTGCCAGGATCCGGCGGGGA